TCGGTTACGGCTGCTTAAATAACTGGGATGTCATCATAAAATGCTCTCTTCATCTTGGTTCATGCTGATAGATCAGGCGAATACGGAGGATAGTCGATGAGAGAAATCCCTTTTTTCATTAAAAATTCGAGCGATTTTTTGATCGTCATTTAATTCATGTGGAACAAATCGCGCACAGACCTTTCTTTTCGACAAATATTCAGTTAAAATTCTCCAAATAGTGTTTTTACTCGTATTCAATTCCTCAGCCAACATTCTCGTATATATTTTATATTTACTCTTTGTTCCATTTTATTTTTGAACCATTAGTACACTTTTGGTTTTATTGAAATGAATGTCACTTTTAGGTGCGTTTGAAAGAGGATGAATGTATCTTTTTAATGTTACAAATTTCCAATAGATGGCGCTGTATGTTGTATGATTTAAATATAAAGTTCGGTTATTTTTAGGACACACCGTGTGTGTTAATTTTTATTTATTTACTTTCTCTTATATTATTTTCCTTACCATATTTTGTGTTATTGTGTTATATTTCATTTTATATTATATCATTATATATATTTTTTATAGAGATTTTTAGTTTACTGTATTTTGTTTTGTATTAATTAATTTTTTTATTTTATATAATTTAATGTAGTTTTTATTTAATCTGTTTTTTCTTTTATTCCAATTTGTTTTTTTTTATTTATTAAAACTAAGTTTATATTTGAAATCAAAATACGATTTCTTTTCTTTAAGGTCTAAATACATCTGCAGGGATCTTTGCAAGAATTCTTGTAGTTTTTTATATTTTCTCCAAAAGTAATAATTCTTTAAATGAAGTACAGATTTTTTTTTTGTGTACATTGCTAATTTTAAGAGAAAGGCTAAGAGCGATAAACCCTAAAGAAAGCCTAAAACCGCTACGCCCTTAGGATAAAATAAGCACAGAGAAGACATAAAGCATTTTTTTTGAAGAATAAAGCTTAAAATGAAAAAAAAAATACTTTATTTATGCCTACGTACGTGCATTGATACATATGTATATACCTACTTATGCCTATATCAATGTACATAAATACATATCTAGAGACATTTGTATATATTTCTGAGCAAGCAGTACGACTTAGAACATAAAAAAGCTAAATAAAAACACAATCCCTAAAACTCCCTAATTTGATGTGAAATTCTGTTCTGGGCTGGCGTAGCTAACATTAGTAACGTTCACAAGACAGTAATTATACTTGGTATGTGTATATTATATTTGTGTGTGTTTGTGCGCATACACACTCAAATGAGTGCATGTAAGAAACACATAAGATATTAGGTACTATAATAAGCGCAAATGTACATACAAATGTTTGTATGTCTTTCTATTCGTCATTTTACAACATTTCACTGCCGTTTTCTTTCTTTAGCGGTCATTTTCTCATACGTAAAAAAAAATAATAAAAATACATTTTCTTTGCCACACAACGGTAAAAATAATAAAGCAATCAAATGGTCATTTCTACAGCGCAAAGTTCCATGGCACACCTGTACATACACATGCATACAAACATACTTGTTAAAATTTATGAATGTTCATATGTATGTATATAATCGCTTGCTGGTTTGCTATGAAGCTTCTCGTGATCGCATCGGAAATGAAAATGAGTCTAAAGTCGCTTGGCCGTACTCGGCCCATTAATAACGCGTAGAGGCCCACAAAGAAAGCAGAACTTGGCTTTTTAATGACCTCGTAGTGAAAGAAAGAAACTTGCCGAACGACCTACCCACCGACCGATCAAAAGTTCTGCAGTCTGAGAGGCCTGTACAACCTAATGGCTGGCATGGAAGCTTCACTGCAATTTTGCTTTGTTTGTCGAAATGGATAACTTCTACCCATGTATGTGTGTACCTATGTAAGAATATGTATGTACAATTAAAGTGCAGAACAGGTGCATTGCTGTGAAATTACAGGGGGGCAATAATGAAGAAATGTAATAATGATCAGGAAATACTTCATGTCACTCAGCTCACTTTGTAGCTAGAACAGTTTTTCTTTATCAAATAATAAATTTATGTTTGCATTCACAGTTATTTGTAAAGCTAAAAAGGAGATAATTCAAGCTTTCTGTTATATAATGTAGCAGATGATCGCTTAGTTTTTTAACGAGACTGACCTTCATTTTTACCATATATCACCTCCACTCCTAAGTAGTTCACCCCAACGGATGCCCAAACCGAATTCGACGGACGGTACGACGCATTAAGGAATGTCAATTTGTCTCGTAGTAATTTGGATGGAAGTGTTGCAGTTCTTGAAATGCGATGAACCCACACGGCCCGACTTGGAACAAAAAATTTATCATCCATGACGAAACAGCTCCAAACGGGCTGAAGCTGGTGGACTTCGCCGGGGCCCGAAATATGGTTCCCTGTAGTACCAGATTTTCGCAGAAAAAATACATCTATCAAGCTTTACTTAAGCATCAGTCGTACCAACAGGTGCTACATTGGACTGAGTAGGTAATTGAAAACTAAAGCCCTATCTCTACGAATCAAAACTAACTCTACAAGTCACTCATCAACTTCGTCCTGGTACATAGTGCAGAAGATGTTGACATCTGATGAGTCGACACAGAGTTTTGGAATGAAAGTTTTGCAAAGGAGTTATGGTCTTTGCGCATTAGCAACAGCGAATACTGCACACGATAGAACGACGAGTTGCACGAGTTAGACGATGACAAGAAAGCTAATGAAAAATCAGCGTTCAAGATGGGTAGATCATGTCGTTCGAATGGTTGAAAATATTCGATACAGTACCAGTAGGTGGAAGCAGAGAAGGAGGAAAACCTGCGTTGGAAGAATCAGGTGTAGAGCGATCTAGTTTCCACTGGAATTTTCAACTTTATTTTTAAATTTTTTAGTTTCTTTTATTTTATTTTATTTCATTTAATTTTATTTTATTTTACTTAAATTTACAGTTGTAAAACTTTGCTTCCGCCGTTTTTCGATAGGTGGCTGTACCGGCTGAGATTGGTTGAAATACATAGATGATAATGCCTTTAAAGTGAGTTTGGACATTGCCTAACGAATTGTCATCGCCGTTTCAGTGACAGTTGTTCTTGTTTTCGTGAAGCGTATCGACTGCTCTCAGAAACTTACGGTGATGCTGCTCTGAAGTGGTTTCAACATTTTAAAAATGGTGGTTTCAATATCGAAGACAAACATGGTGGTGGAAGAGAAAAAACCTTCAAAGATTTACTACGAGCTCTTAAAACCGGGTGAAACCATNTTATTTAATTTTATTTTACTTAAATTTATTTTATTTTATTTTATTTCATTTTATTTATTTTATGTTATTTCATTTAATTTTATTTTAAATAATTTTATTTTATATTACTTAACTTCATTTTAATATTATTATTTTTTTTTTTTGTATTTTATTTTATTTTTTTCGTTTTAAACTTATATGTTAATTTTTTTTATTTTAGTTTATTTTGTGTAATTTAATTCTAAAATCATTTTTTCCCCTTTCTATTTCATTTTTCGGAATAAGTAAATAAAAACTGCAAGTATTTATGTTTTGTTTTTGAAATATGTATACATTTTCATTTATTAAATTGTTCGTTTTCCGATAACAAAAGAGTTTTTTGTAATTACACAATTACATACAAATATTCTTAAGTAATTTTTTACAATTTTTTTTATTTTTTATCTCACATTGATGATCATTATTACATACATCCATAAGAATATCTACAGTGTAAGCTGTTTCTTTCGTTTAACTGGGTCTTCTTCACTTGCACAGCAACACTGAAGCACAAACGTTCAGCTGTGCAAACACAAAACACACATACTACTATAATACATACTAATATATATTACTAAATTGCATAGTTTATCAATTATCATATATGTACACATACATATATATGTATATTTATATAATATATATATATATATATATATATTTACAAATGAAACAAAACAAATTATGTATGTAAAAAAAATTAATTTAAATATAAGAATAATAATAAAAAAAATGAAAACACTTTTTAAATTAATTTAATTAAAAAAAAAAAATATTTTATATGCCTTATGAAGAAAAGAATTGTCACTAAAGAGCTAAATTAGTATTTATAATTGATCAATTAGATATTGTACATAGATTATAATAATTGTATGACGACGACTTTACACATAGAACTGAATAGTTTTTTAAACGCTTGATAACAGTAAATCGAAATTGAAAGTGGGTAGGGAAATAATGTGAATTTCAAACATAATTAATATTTTATTTTATTTATAACTTTTTTTAATAGGTTGTGGATTTGCTGCATTTTATTTCCTTTACAGTTACTATTGCTATTGCGTATGTATATGCTTCAGTGCATGGCGAACAACTCAAAAAATGAATTATGTAGCTATGTTGCAAGTAAAAAAAATTGTGCGCAAGAGTTTAAAGCCAAAAGTAGTATTTTTGACATTGTTTTTGATGCTGTTATAACAATTTTGAATATTAGCATTTAAACTCTGTGCGCTTTATGCACTCACAACACAGTTCAGCATTTATAATTTGGTTGCATTTGCTTACAAATTGTTGTTGGTTCTTTAAAAGTTTCTGACAAAATTATTCTGTTTTGCTTTTTATCTGTTATTTATTGGTTTTTTTATGTATAATATGGTTTTATTATTATTTTGTGTTTATTTCATAATTCTTTGAATTGTGGTGAGTAATGTATAAAATCTAATTTAATTTGTTTACATAAAAATTTTTGTAATCATCTCTTATTAACCCATTAAAAATAGAAATTCGATTTACATCCAATTAAAAAATAATAATTATTTTTTTTTTTTATATAAAGTGTAGTGTTTGTTGTGCTTTTTGGTAAATTTTTATTTTTGTGGTTTTTTATTTTTATTATATTTTTTTATTAAATTGAAAAATAATACTCTAATACACACACTACATCATTGCTTAAGTGAGATCATTCCAAAATTTTTTGTTTTGTTTTGTTTGTTTGTTGTTGTTGTTTTTTTTTTTTTTTTTTTTTTTTTGTATGAATGTTTTGGTTAATTTTAACACAGGCCAACAACAAATGAATGTTTCATATGCGGCGAGACGGGCACAAGTGAACTAAAGTGTTGGTAAAATAAAGGTAAAATTGCACTGACCAGCCACTTTAAACAGTATTTTTCATTTTCATTTCTTATTACAATTCTTAGCCATTTTTACGAGACCAATTACCGTTTCTTTATTTTTTCTATTTAAATTGTTAACCGCCTTGCTATGCTAATGGCTTGCTTGTAAATACATATGTACATATGTTTACAGGTTGGCCTGCGTATGCATGCAACATTTATTCATTTATTTCTTTTTACTATATAATATACTACACTCTGTCCATAGCATTGAAATTAAGGTTTTCAAACATAAAGGAAACAAAATTTAAAAAAATTGAAATCTTAAAAAAAAAATTTTAATTAGCTAAGTTGGATATTGTTGATATAATCTGGTCATAAAAATCACAATTAAAAAAAATGTTTCAAAATATGTAGTAACTCTCCAAATTCTCTTTGTACCAACCGACTTGCAATGAAATCAAAGAATTTTTCTTTTTTTTAATTTTCCAATAATCAAAAGTCTTACTTTGTCTTACGAGTTATTGTTGTTGCTTTACCTTACACAAGCGAACTAGTTCAATTATGTACATATGTAACTAGTTACTATATGTATGTATATAGTAGAAAACCTTAAACATTCCAGTGCATAAATCTCAGCTAAAGTGCAGCAACCCAAACTGTTAACATCACCGCTTCCCGCTGTTCTCTGCCGCTCCAGAAACTATGCAACAGCAAACGCACAGTGCACAATTAACCGTTTAACATTCATCAAAAAATAAAAATGTTATTAATCTATTTATCTACGATGGCGGTGGTACTGATTTTCGCTTCGGCAACACATCTGAAAGAGAGAATGGAAGAAAGAGAGAAATTGCAATCAATAAGCCAATTTGTTCTGTGGAAAATTACAAATTAAAGAAATTATTGATATATCTATGTACATATGTACATAGGTACAAATATATATATTTGTTCTTAATTTTAATCTTTAGTTGATTTGCTTATAAAAATTATATGCTTAATGCACGCATATTTGCGCTTTTTTTACTGCTTATTCTTCTTCTTCTTTTTGAATTCATCATCATCCACTCAACGGCAAATGACCTTCATACTATCTGTGAGTCCATTCACACGCATTCAAATGCACAAACACTTATCTCACATAATCTCAGACAGTAAAAGTGCACAGCACAAACGATGTACATACATACATATACACACTCGTATGTACACACACGTACATATCATACACATTACCTGCGTCCCAGAAATGGTAATATAAAATGCACAGTCGCTGATAAGAAAAACTGTATGAAATCGAAAATGCATTTGAAATAACACGTAATAAATAGCACGCATACAAACACAAACAAACACACATATGTATATACGGCTACTTATTTAGTATTGTAGAAAAATAATAATAATAAAATACGCTATTTATCGATCGATGACTGCAAATAAATTGCATTTAAGTTGAGGAATTATGAAGTTTATATTTTCATAATTTATTTTGTGTCTCATATGAGCTGCGAATGAAATGTGGATACCCGATAAGCTTCAGAACAAAATACAAAAAAAAAATCACAGTAAATTGTACTGTGTTTTTTTTTTAAATTTTTATATTAACAAAATCATTTCATTCCATGCTTTATTTAACTAACACCAAATAATTGTTATATTTTTTTCTTTTTTAAAGTTTTCAATATTTCTTATAACAAAGAGTTGATGAGCGAGTATTAAACAATTTGATTTCAATATTATTCTTTTCTTAATTACTATGTAATAAATATATACAATTTTTAGAAAAAAAACGCTGTAATTTCAGAAAACTCTAAAAAAAAAATGATTATTTTTATAAAAAAATTATTATTTCTATAAAAAAAAATATTATTTTTATAAATAAATTATTATTTTTGTTAAAAAAAAATTATTAATTTTATAAAAAAAATTGTTAATTTCATAAAAAATTATATAATGAAAAAAACTAATGCTAACATTTGTATAATGAAAATGAAAACCTGAAAAAACACCAAAAAAGAATACAGTTAAAAAAAAATACAGCTAAATTAAAAGAAAAACATTTGACTTAGACGACAAGCTATTGCAGGTAGTTTATTAAGTATTGAATAATGAAAACAAAAACAAAATTTGCCGCAAAAAATTCTTATAAACTCGTTGTAATTTCCCATAAACATTTTTAACGAAAGGATATATAACAACAACCTTAACTTGCAGATAAGGAAATATAAAGGCATGGGATAAATCATTGCAATTTAATATAATTAACAAAAGTAGATGTAGGTAATTCGATTTTTTAAACTAAATAATTTTTCAGCTTTAAGTTGTATTTTGATTTATTTAAGCAAAATTTTTCCTTCTCAAAAACTTTTTGTTTGATTTATAACAAATAAGATTTTTGTAAAAAAAATTTAGGAAAAAAAAGATGAATTTAATATATTTAATTAAAAAAAAAAATTATTAAAAAAAAAAAATATTGAAATAAAGCTTAAACACCCTAAAGTAAAAACTGAAAAAAAAATTAAAAAAATATCTAGTAAAAAATGTTAAAATAAAATATGCCATCAAAGAAATGCATTTTACAGTTATATGCTATTTTGATTGGATATAAACAAGAAAAAAATGTAATAAAAAACCAATCGCCAGTTTTCACCAACGTTTGTTACTTAAAAGAAAAGAAAATAATCAAAACAAAAACCTTTTCTAACAACGAAACGAGTTCATAACTGGGACACGCTCAAGCGGCTAAAACACAACAGCGCTCACTACAAGTCAGCCAAAAGAAATCTGTCAGTCAGTCAATCACGCCAATCAACTAACGGACTAACAAAGCGTTTAGTTAAAAAAAAAAAGAAGAAATAGACGAGTCAATCACAGTGTCGATTGAATGTATGTTTTACGTATGTACATACATATATTTGTGGTGGTTATGATAGTGTGTTTTGGTTAAAATAGTAATGGCCAAAGCGTGCTGAACGTGTTGGCATGAAGGTAAAAATATGTAAGTAAATAAATAAAACAAAAGCACGCCACCGCACTCTTGTCTCTCTCTCTCTCTCACTCCAACTGCAAGACTCAAAATTATGCGACTTATATACACATACACTTCTCTGCATACATACATACATATACATATATATAATATGTTTAATATGAAGTTTAAACACTTAATAAAAAATTGTTTATAATCGACAACCAAAACAAAATTTAACTTTTCTTTTACTACTATTTACGGTTAAAATTTATATACCTACATAAAAAGAAGTCTTACTTATAGCCATAACAACTGTTATAAGCTAAAAACAAAACAAAGAGAATCACAAAAAAAAGTAATAATAATAAATCTATAATAATAATAATAGAAATAATAAAGCTAGCTACTCGTACATGAAAAATAAACTAACGAATTTTTATCAACAACGCACAATACAACAACACAGTGTGATGAGCGTTGGCCGAGACGCCAAAACGCTTTCTGTTGTGGCTTTCTTTCCATAACAAATTCACCAAAAATGTATTATTTTGTATACAAAATAATGAACGAACTATTATGTGTTATCAAGAGACATACATATGTATGTATGTATATATGTACGTGTATGTATGTACATAAGAGCACATACTAACCACTTGTCACCAGACGATTACGAGTCTAAATTGCGGTCACTCGTACTCCGTTGTTTTGGGAACGCCAACGAATGAAGAATGACTTTTTACGATTTATAAATATTTACGAAAGTTGTAGGAAAAAAATTAGTAAATTCAAGTAGGTATACAAAAGGGAAAAGAAAAACAGTATTTGGAAACGAAAATCAAAACAAACCATAAAGGAAACATAATAATAAAGCCACAGGCATGTACATATGTACATATATACATAAATACATATACATATATAATTGGCATTTCATAACCGCTGAAGTGACTTTCGGCCGAGCTCCTTCTCCTCAACCAATTTACCGTCCACGAACGGCTGCAGGATTTTGATGCGGAGCCTTTATTTCGTGCCAAAAGTACATTCGGATCACAATTAGGAAAATTACTCAAATTAATGTTTTATTAAATTTTTGTGCCTTAAATTTCGAATATTGCAATGACCAGTTCGCGATCGCTTGACCTTTTGCATGTTGGTACGCACTGCTAACTACTCCGTTACCGCTGGTGCCAGACACGTACATATGTACATATGTACATACTAAAAAATGAAAAAGAAAACGCCAAGTTTTAGGTTAAGCATGCGCTGCTATCGCTTATTTCTATGCAGCTATCGATGGCGGTAGCAATTTCAGTTAGTTTTTTGTTTGTACGTACCTACATACAAACATATGTACGTATATATATAACTCACTTGCATATCCATTTATCGACTGGCAAATGCGTTTGCGGTCGGCAACATGGTGCTATCAAGGTGAAGCCCGACGAACGACCGTCAGGCAACCAGTGTTTGGCACACATTCTTCTCATTACATACATACAAGTTCGTACAAGCGTTGACAAATGATTAAATTGAAATATCAAAATATCAAAACACGAAACATATGTATTTATTTATTAGCAGTTGTCGTTCATTAAATTATTATTATTATTTGTTTTCTAATCGTAGCCACAGCAGCTCAACGCGGAACCGGAACAACGAAAATATGGCACACGAACAACTGGTACACTCACATATATTAACATACATACTTATACAGACATTATTATGTTGGTGTTTGCCACCCTGTGGGGAAAAATTTTCAAAATGAAAAAACTCTCCAACAATTGTGAGAAGTTCGAAATTCTCAATGTAGTAACTAAAATCGTAAAAGTTTAAAAACCTCAAAATTCCTTTTGCTATCAAACATGACAATTTTATTGTGATTATCCAAACGAAAAAAAAAGTAAATCTAAACACGCTGCATCCCAATTTAACCGCAAAATTCAAGTACTGTGTTTGATTGAGCTTGGGTTAGGTTAGGTTAAGTTAGGCTACATTGGCTGACTGTTTGGGCTTACATACTCCTATACCTGCTGTTTTATTGCAGGGAAAGATGGGGGCTTCATTTAATTCAAGCTTTTTACGAGAGCTTTGCTGCACTATTTTGATACTTCTTTTAGTGCTTTTGAGAGATTTTAATACAACTTAAAAATATTCACCACACACCAAACGTAGCCTTTTTTGTAGCACCGAAATATCTAGTTTCGACTCGTAATTATCAGCTCTTATGAAGCAAAAAGAATGCTTTAAAATGTTTAGAAAAATTTTTTATGTATTTCAAATCAAAACTTGAACACTTTCAATGCACCTAGTATATTCCTATATATTCCTATTGGGTGATGTAATCTCCAGACTCATCTTAAACACCTACGCACAGTTTATAAAGAAAAACGTATCGCTCACAATATTCCCGCACATAAGCTAGTTATGCGTATCGTACGTATTTTATGCATACATACACACACACGTAGATACATATGTATATTCACTTCGAAAGGCATATAAAAATACTACAATACAACAACAAAATAAAAGTCATGAAATCAGCTATAGAAATGGACCGAAGGCCGTTTTCAATCAAGAAACCGTACTTGGAGCAAATGATAAAGTAAACAAAATATACAAAACAACAACATTTGATACATATGTACAAACATTCATACATTTAATATACTATATACTCTTATGTATAGGGCTCAATAATGTTGAGAAAAAAAAGAAATAAAGCATAAAAGGCGAAAAGTGGATAATAAAAATTTATTATTAAAAGAGTAAAGATATTATGTATCTTATAGATGCGTAGCGCATATACATATATATGTAAATATGTATGTATTCATATA